AAATTTGGGAATGGCTGGGGGGCGTGGCCTGCCGCCAGTCGGGGCATCAGCGATTAAAAGCCATCCACCTACTTCTGAGGATTGTGCGATGCTGTTCTCTCAGGTGAGTGAGTACCTCCTGGTATGAGTCCTTTGTGGGCATACCTAGAACTAATAGCTCCTCCCACTCCATAGGTTGCCTTTTCTCTCTATTCTTAATGTCTTCCAATTTGTCAGTCATTTTCTTTTATCTTTGTGCTTTTGGTGTCCTCTTGAGTAATTTTTTGTCTTACCTGGAAGTCATGAAGATATTGCCTGAATTATCTTCTAGAAGCTTAATTGTCTTTTCTTTCATAGTTAGATTTGAATGTATGCTATGAGGAATGAATGAATTTTAAGGTATGCTATGAGGTATAGGGATTGAGTTAGTTTTGTTCCAGTGGATATTCACTTGACTCAAAGAGATCACATTTTCCCAAACCACACTTTTTTTTTTTTTTAAAGAGATTTTTGCTATAGGACACGTGCACTCACCAGAGAGACAAAAGAGACAGAAAACAAGAAATCACCCCCCACCCGGGGTGGGGGGATGGCCACGCCACAACCCTGTCTCATCTATTCTCTTCTCAGGCACACACACACACATAGAGCATGAGTTTTAAGCCACCAGGCTGGGACTCGAACCATAGTCGATTACATGGGAGTCCAGTGATGTAACCATTATGCCATCAGCTGGTCCCTCCCAAACCACACTTCAGTGCCATCTTTGTCACAAAGCGGGTGTCCATGCATACATGAATCTGTTTATGGTCTCTTTTGTTCCTTTGGTATTTTTGGTTATCCATGTATCATGTCTCACTGTCTTAGAGAGTATAGCTTTATAACAGATTCACATATCTAGATGTATAAATCCTTCAGCCTAGTTCTTCATCTTTGAGATTGACTTGAATGTTTTAACCCTGCCTGTCCTTACACATTTTAGAATTACCTTGTTAATTTCTATATATGTACGTGTACGTATGCATTCACACACACACTTACACTCCTATGGGATTTTGACTGACTGTACATGAATTTAGAACATCGGGTCCTGTAATCCACACCATTGTATATCTCTCCATTGTTTAGGTCTTAGTAACATTTTAGAGTTTTATTTTTCATTTCATTTCATTTTTAATTTGCCAGAAGGTGTGTGCACAAACCAGAGAGAGAGAAAATGAGAAGTCCTCCCTCGTGGGGAGTGGTCATGCTCCCTTCTTTTTCATCTCCCTCCATTTGGGATTTTGACCATGCACACACACACCCCCAGCATGTTTCTCAAGCCACCACGTCCAGGACTCAAACCATGCAGTTGGCCATGTGGGACTCTGCCTTAACTGCCACATCACTGACTGGTGTCAGTGTATTTATATTTTCTCTTCTTTTAATAATTATTTTATTTAACTTTGTTTATTTATTCATTTTAATTTGACCGGAGAGGAATAGAGCAAGAGAGAGAGAGGGAGAGAGAGAAGGAGAGAGAGACAGTGGGAAAACAAGCCACTAGGTCTGGGACTTGAACTGTGGTTGATCATGTGGGAGTTCAGCACCCGTAACCACCATGCTACCTGCCAGCCCTGTTATTTATAGTTTTCTATGCAGAGGCCTTGCATAAACATTTTGTTAAATTTTTTAAAAAATAATTATTTATTCATTCATTTATTTCAATTTGACAAGAGAGAGAGAGAGCAAGATAGCAAGTCACCAGGTCTGGGATTTAAACCATGGTCGGCCACGTGGGAGTGTCCAGCACCTTAACCACCACGCCACCTGCTGGTCCCCACATTTTGTTAAATCTTGTCCTAATTATTCAGTTGTTGGGTGTTGTTACAATGGTACTTTTTAATTTTTATTTTTTGTTTTGCTGATGAATAATTTTTTTGTATTACTCTTGTATCCAGTGACCTTGCCAAGTTTGTTCATTCTGAGAGTGTCGTTCAGTGGACAATCATGTCATCTGTTCACAGGAAGTTTTCTCTCAGTCCATAGAAGATGTTTCCTTGTTTGTTTTTGCCTTTTGCATCAGCCAGGACTCGTGCACTCCAATATAGTGTTGAATAGCAGTGGGGATGGTGACATAATTGCCTTGTTTTGTTCCTTCCACCTGTCAGAGGGAAGAGGTTTGTGATTACTGTGCTACACGCATCATGCATGCACGCGGCCCTCCTCCTCGCTCAGACCCTCACTGTTAGGAGTTCATTGTTCCTCTTTCCTGGGTCTTTAAGGCACACAGAGACACAGGATGCTAGTCAGCGTAGGGTTATGCTACTTGAGGCAACAAATTGTCTTCCCATAATATGGAGCTGTTACTTAAAAAAATAGAGAACTTCCAAGTCAGGGAAAAGAAAGCAGTGGCTCACCTAGGTAATCAGGGGCTGGCAGCAGGGGGAGAGGGGAAGCAGGGCATGTGTGCTGTTCCCACCATATCCCCCACGTGCAGACATCAGGCAGCAATTGGCCCCGTAGCTCTGAGCTCTCTCTGTTTGAGTGTAGGTTCCAGTGAGTGCTGTCCGGTTAAGCGATGTGTATGAAACATATGACGTCTCCATAGTCTCCATCTGGTGGGTTGTTCCTGACTGTAGCACAGATGCAGTCCTACACAGTTTGCAGTCCTTGCCAACTTCCTGCCAGTCAGGAGGGAACTCCCAGCATGCTTTGTCAGACCAAGGCATTCCGTGTGTGCTCCTTGGACAGTTAAAGAAGTCCCCACCCAAGGGTTTGGCATGGAAGCCAGAGGGGCGCCACCAGGGGAGGGGGCCCAGGCAGGCGTCTTTTACATTGTACTCTTGAGTGCTTTCCCAAAAACCCAGCTATAGCTCTCTATAAATGTAACTTAATTTCCCCAGTTGTTTACTTTGTAACGGTTTATTCTTCTGGGGGTAAGTGATTGGCTGCAAGATAACACTTAAACACACAGAATTCTTTTTCAGGTTGTCAAAGAGAAAGCAAGTGAAATAGAAAAGGCAACATCTAATATTATTTATGTATACATATAACCATATAGTAAGGCCCAGAATATTATTTATTTCTTAATTGTTCTCTTTTGAGAAGAGTTCTGTCTGAACAATCTTACAAGCTTATTTCCTATGTTAAGACTAAGATCTTGAGGCCGGCAGGTGGCATGGTGGTTAAAGGCGCTGGATTCCCACATGGCCGACTGTGGTTCAAGTCCTGGACCTGGTGGCTTGCTCTCTCTCTCTCTCTCTCTCTCTCTCTGTGTCCCTCCCTGGTCAAATTGAAATGAATAAATGAATAAATAATAAATAAAATTTAAAAAAAAAAAGACTAAGATTGGCCTGGTAGGTGGCATAGTTGTTAAAGTACTGGACTCCCACGTGACTGACCATGGTTCAAATCCCAGACCTGGCAGCTTGTTCTCTCACTTTCTTTCTCTCTCTCTGTCTCTAGTGAGAACATGTGCCCTATAGCAAATTTTTAGAAATAATAATAAATAAAAATAATTAAATATTTTTAAAAGGTCTAAAACCTTAATAATGGTTGTCATCTTCAAATACTCTTTTTTTTTTTCTAATTATAAATATGATGAGCATTGTAGAAAATGTACAAAGCTTATAGGAACAACCACAGATAATATTTTTTGGTCATGTGCACTAATTTAGGGATTAAATTAGACTTTGGATTTAGAAAACAATGTATAAATGCTTACTATTATTTTAAACATGGTTACACAATATTAAATATGCAGGGTTTTTAATTGCATATTTTGTATGTGCCATTTATATCTTGTTTTTTGTTGTTGTTGTTGTTTTTGTTTTGTTTTGTTTTTTAGAGGTTTTTGCTATAGGGCACGTGAGCTCACCAGACAGACAGAGACAGACAGAAAGACAGAAAGTGAGAAATCACCCCCCAGGGGGGATGGCCACGCCACAATCCCTTCTCCTCCATTCTCCTCTCGAGATCTTGTGCACACACGCACACGTCCCCGGCATGAGTTCAAGCCGCCGGGTCTGGGACTTGAACTGCGGTCGACTACGTGGGAGTCCAACAACATAGCCATTACACTAACTGCTGGTCCCTGTATCTTGGTTTTCTTTGCTCATCATCAATCTAGAGATTCTTCTCACGTTTTTTAAAAAAGAATTATTTATTTAACTTTATTTATTTATTTATTCATTTGTTTATTTTAACTTGACCAGAGAGGGACAGAGAAAGAGAAAGCAAGCCACCAGGTCCAAGACTCAAACCACGGTCAGCCATGTGGGAATCCAGCACCTTTAACCACCATGCCACCTGCCGGCCCCCTCACTGTCTTCATAACAGCTATCTTTAAAGATGCCCAATAATTCCCATAAATGTGTTTCAGGCTTCCCCCGTTTCTCTGGAGTCTGGTTTTAAAGTTTAGGTTCCACTTCATTTCTTCTTTGCTGTTGGTGATTACATGCAGCTGGGGTGTGTGTGTGTGTGTGTAGGGGTTTGTTTTACAGTCACTGTCCTGGATGTGAGAAAGGGGGTCTGAACCGTCAGCTGTCTGACCATGGCATGGTCCTCAGTAAACCCATACCCCTCCTGGGGCTACCCCCACAGTGACCTCTGTGACCTCGCGCTGTTGAAGCCCCTGTGGCAGCTCTTTACCCACATGGAGTACGGCCTGTTTGAGGATGTGACACAGCCTGGCATCCTCCTCCCCCTGCACCGCGCCCTCACGGAGCTCTTCTTCGTCACCGAGAACCGTGCCCAGGTGAGGGCCCTATCCTTCTCTCACCCTGGGGTCTGGACTGGGGAGGACAGCACCTCTGTGGGTTTTCGCTCCGTCTGCTGACCCTGGAGGACTCACAGCACAGCCCCGTTCTGAGCCCAGGGGTGTCGTCAGGGTCTCATAGCCTGCAGAGTAGGGCAGGCTGGCCTGCGGTCTGAGGCCTTCACTCGTCTCTGGCCCTGGGAAGCCCTTGGGTCAGCACCAAGTTTACTTATTTTGTCAGGCCCACAGCCAAAGGGGGAAAAAAAAACTGCCTTGGATCAGCCCTTGACAACATCAAGTTTTGGAAAGTAAAATGGACGGGTTATTTCTTCTTCCTTCTCTTATTTTCCTCCCCTTAACACAATAGACTCATTGAATGTGAGAGATGAAAGGGCCTTTCAAAGTTTGGCATCTTGTCCCTCTCCATTTATACGTGAAGAATCTGACATGGGGGCTGGGGGTTGGTATCTGCCCAGTCACCCTGTGGGTAGGTCGGGGTAGAGCCAGCCCTCCCAGGCAGGCTCCCTTTGTGGTTCTCAAGTGAGGTAGTGCTGTGAGGTGCCTGCTGGGGTGAGGCATGTGTACCCACTGGAGGCCCATTGTCATCGGGGTGTCCCCTTGATGGCTGTCGTCGCTGTAGGGGATCCGGACCCACTGCTGTTGCTCTCTCCGCAGGAGCTGGGCCTGCTGCAGGATTACCTGCTGGCCTTAACCACCGACGACCACCTCCTCCGCTGCGCAGCACAGGTACTTGCCTTCACGCCCCCTTCCCACCTCCCATTCCGACCACACATGGGGCATCACCTCTCACTGTGTCCAGGACAAAGCATCTCTGTGCGTCATGTCACAGTCCAGAGTCCACCCGACGTTTACACAGAGCTCAGGGCCTATCTGGCCACTTCCTTCTGGTACTGAGCCAGAGCAGGCCAGCCCCATTCATCAGTGTCATTCACACTGAACTGTGGGGTCAGAAGACTCTAGCAAGAATCTGTGTCTTTAAAACCAAAACAGCCAATGTCTTAAATTCAGTTTGGCCAATCCCTGAGTTTCCACAGAGTTTGATTTCAGATATTTTTGGATATAGTTTGCTTATCCTGGTGACAGAACTCCTCTTTTGACAGCTGTTTGGCCTCAGGACCGTTCACACTTTTAAATTATTGAGGATTCCTGAAAGCATTGGTTTATGTGCACTAATTTAGGAATTAAATTAGACTTTGGATTTAAAAATTAAAGCAAAAGATCTAAACATGTATTTATCAATTCATTTTTTAAAATAGTAAAACTCATTTCATGTTAACATGGATAACATGTTTCATGAAAAAGAACTCATTTTTCTTTTTTCTTGAAGAGGTTTTTGCTATAGGGTGCATGAGCTCGCCAGAAAGAGAGACAGACAGAAAGCAAGAAATCACCCCCTAGGGGGGATGGCCATGCCTCAATCCGTTCTCCTCCATTCTCCTCTCGGGATCTTGGGCATGCATGCACACGCGCCCGGCGTGAGTTTAAGCCACCGGGTCTGGGACTCAAACCGTGGTCAACTACATGGGAGTCTAGCAACATAGCCATTATGCCAATTGCTGGTCCTGAACTCATTTTTCAAAACAAAGTAATTATTGAGAAAGGTGGCCCTTTGTCACATTTTTGCAGATCTCTTTACTGTCAGGCTTCATAGAAGACAGCTGGGTTCTCACAGCTGCCTCTGCATCCACTCTGTCCTGTTATCACACATTAGTCCCTGGAAAACCGCACTGTGTACTTGGGAGACAACGAAAATGAAAACTGAACCTTGCTGGCCAGCCGGTGGTGTGGTGGTTAAGGCTACTGGGTCTCACGTGGCGACTGCATCGTTCAAGTCCCAGACACGGTGGCTTGAAAAACATACCGGGCACATATGCACGCATGCCCTAAAATCCCCAAGAAAATGGAGGAGAAGGGGTTGCAGCTTGGTCATTTTCTCTGGGGGTATGGGGATACTCTCACTGTACTCTCACTTTCCCTGTCACTATCTCTGTCTCTCTGGCAAGCACACGTGCCTTATATCAAAAGAGAAATTAAAAAAAAAAAATGAGTGCCGCAGGTAGCATGGAGGCTGAAGTGGTGGATTCCATATGGCCAGCTGGGTGATTCTAGTGCTAGACCCAGCAGCTTGGAAAATCACACCAGGTGCATGTGCTCATGAACCCAGAATCCTAAAAGGAGAATGGAGAGGGGACTATGGCCTGGCCACCCCCACAGGTGGATGATTTCTCACTTTCTCTCTGTGTCTCTCTCCAGTGAGTGCATGTGTCATGTAGCAAACTGGAAAAAGAGGGAGGAAAAAAAAAAAAAAAAACCTTGCAGACCCCCAGAAGGGAGTCAGGAACCCCCAGGCCCCAGACTACATTTTGAGAACCTTGGACTCATAAACTGAGTTCCATGGAGCCTTCAGCCCAGCTCCCACAGTGGATAGGTGGGGTCCCACATGGGTGAGTGTCCAGCTGGGACAGCCAGAGCCTTGCCTGAGTCCAGCACTGTCCTCCTGAAAGAAAGGGGCTCCATCCTGATGCAGGTTTTGGAGTGTCTGCTTAAGAGGGGGAGCCGCACAGCAAACAGGGGAGAGTTTGCGTGAGTTCCCTGAGAACTGCAGGCAGCGTGGAAGTCCCTTCTCCCAAGTGGCTGTCTACCAACACTGCCGCTACCACCCCTGCGCCATGACGTCACATGACGAAACCGTTGTAACTCGACAGTGTTGTCACTGAAAGCTTAACCTGGCGGCTTCCCTGGGGCCGGCCCCTCCTGCCTGCCCCGGTGCCTGGTCTCTGTGACCACCTCCCTTCTCCCTCCACACGCTTATCTCGTTTCTGGCCAGCATTCAGACTTTTCTCCCAGCCTGCCTCCTCTGCCTCCCTCATCCACCTCCACACCTCTGCGTGACAACCAGCTGTGGCCTGGCTTCTGGGGTTCTGTGTCCCAACACCTTCCCCTCCCTGTTGTCCAGGACCGCCGTGAGGCCCCCAGTAGAGGCTGTTCATTTCCTGGCTGCCCATGCCCTTCCCCTTCTGCGCCTTAGTTCTTCCCCAGGCCCCCAGCAGTGTTCTCTGAGCTCCCCAGATGACTGCCCCTCTGGGACAGTGATCACGTCCGTCTTACATTTTACAGAGTTCATGTTATCTTGATAGCTTTTCAATCTCTCTGTAACCTGTGGTCTTCTGAGTGAGGAAAACCACATCCGGTGCATCTTGGGGACCCCTCTTGCCCTCTTCTGCGGTGCTCCTTGAGGGTGGTGTTCCTCTGCAGTGGTGAATGTGACACTGGTGACTTCCCTCTCCCTCCACAGGCTCTGCAGAACATTGCCGCCATCAGCCTGGCCATCAACTACCCGAACAAGGCCACTCGCCTCTGGAACGTCGAGTGTTAGCCCTTGGTGTGGGGTGCATGGACTAGCTTAACTGTCCACAGGATTTTAGAGCAGACATCGACACTCATTCAGGAAAATCCCTGTGGCGTCAGTGCCAGCTCCGCTTGGGCTCACTTCACCCCCATTAGGACGCCACGCAGCCGCATCTCCAAGGACTCCCCGGACAGGGGCTCGATAGGTGCACGCTCTGTAGCATGTGAGATTACAAGAATGCGGAGTCAGCAGGACGAGTGGGCAGGTCAGAGACCGCTATCTCTGGGGTCTGTCCCTGCAGAGGCCACAGGCCCAGGAAGACATGGCTGCAGCCTGTCTGGAAAGGTTGCTGTCTTGGTTGAGCTGAACTGCCTGCTCTGGCCTTCAGGTGCAGGCACCAGCCAGAGAGAGCTGCCCCTCAGCACACCCTCCCGCCTCAGTAGCATAGTCTGGAAGCCCCTCTTTTATTTTGCTTCTTGAGACAGAGGAATCCAACCCCAACCAAAACTGATGAGGGCCCCCTTGGCCACTGCTGAGCCCCAAGCGCTCAGTGTGGGGCCTGGTGTCAGTCTCACTACACAGCCACAGTTGTCCCTGTGAGCTCTGCGGGGAGAACAAGTGTCCTTGGGAACAGCTGACAGGCCGCCTGTGAGGGTCCACTCACGCCCTGGCTCCCAGCACATCACGGTTTTTTTTAGTTGTTTTAACATATTTTAGTTTCCACCTCATGTTTTTAGAACACAGTCACACCAACTCCCCTGGGAGGGCCTCAAGGGAACGACCAGTGGAGCGGTCACTTGGAGACCGGCTGGTTTGTGTTAAAGAAGCAGAACTTTGGGAATTCTCTTTAGCTTCTATTCCTAAAGACTTGAAGTGTTGTCAGAAGAGATCTTATTTTAGGGATGTTATGAAAAAGAAAAAAAAGCCCGCATGATTTTATTTCTGCTCAGTGGTCACAGCCATCCATGGTCTCTGCCTCTGGGACTCATGTGGTCATTGGGTGTCTCTCGTCTAGCAATAACTACATTAGTTCTATGAATGCTGTTTTACACTCTTCTTTCTGTGATTTTAGACTAGCCCTAAAGTGCTGATCGTTGCTCTCCTTCCAGAGCCAGGTGTTGGCACGTGAGGCCGTGCTGGCATGTGGGTGTTCCCAGCCCGAGTGGGACTTGTGCACATAAAGCATGCATGAGGCGGCTGCTATGTAAGGGTGGGTGTCTGGGCTGGAAACGTGCCACCACACAGGGCCAACCCCAAGGGAGAGCCTTCGTAGCCACAGCCAAGCGTGACCAGGCTGGCATTGCCATGGCCCGGAATGTCCTTTTGGCTTCCGAAGACCCCTCTGCATGAGTCTGGATTGGAAGGGCCCATGTCTGCAGATCTGGGAGCAACGTCCTGGGAGAGCTCTTTTGCCTTCTGTGCCAGGAGGCCCAGGTGTAGCGACCTTTGCGGCCTCAGAATTAGGCTCTCAGCCCAGCTCCGAGGTGCAGGCAGGACCATCACAGGTGGGGAAGTGGGAGTCAAGGAAGATAGGAACAAGCAGGGTTGGTCCTGAGATTGGTGACCTACGGCCTCTCGCCTTGCTGTCAGTGAAGGCCTGGCTGGTCCCCACCGTGTTGGGACGTGGGAGCAGGTGCTGCTGGCCTGGTGAGCACCCCTTTCCCAACTTTGCTCCTTTTAAACCAACCTTGCTTTGCGAGCTTCCCACATCTCTAGAGGAGGCCCCATGTTCCATGCCACTCCCATCCAGTAGGCCTCACAGGGAGTTTTCCAAGTCACAGAGAACAAGCGGTGGTGCTTGGGGAAGGGACCTCACTGCAGCCTCAGACTTGCTGTTGCACTGCTGCAGGATGGCCCAGTAGATGGCGCTGCCCCCACTCCTCCACACCTCAGACTGACTGAGTAAGAGGAGTAGAAGGCAGGATAAGGAGTCATGCCCTGGTCACAGTGGTCCCCAGCTCTGCCCCCACCATACCATCAGGAAGATCAGCTGTAAATAAACGCTGGACTCTCATAGCCTCTCTCCATACACTGCCCTTGCAGTCCTGGTCTCGGTACTTCAGCTTGCCTAGAGGATGCCCGAGGCGTCCCTCCACTGCACTGCTGTCATCAGGCAGGCTCACCTGGCCTGGCCTGGCCTGGCCTGGCCTGCCTGGCCTCCCGGCAGCCAGCTGTCGCATCTGCCTCTGGCCACTGGGTGGCGCTGCCGGGCCAGGCCAGGTTCCCTCCGGTCCCCAAGCACGAGCAGCAGCCTCCCAAAGGGTTTCTGTCACGACCAACATCCCTGTGACCTTCTGAGGAGGCAGCACTGCCTGGAGCGAGCTGACACTGGCAGGAATAAGGCGTCGTGGAAACATGTGCCTACTCTGGAAAGGAATTCTGTTCCAAATCATATATATTGTACAAACAGACGCTGTTCCTAATGAGAGGAGTGACGTATTTTCATCATCGTTTTTAATTTGTTTTCTTACGGGTTTACGATTTTGAATTTTTCTTATTTGGTTGAGAGAAAGAATTTTGATTATATCAGCTGAGTGAGTTCAGCCTGTAAAAAGGATGTTTAAGTTGTGGGTAAAATATGCAAATGAAGAGAAATATATTGTACAAATTCTATATAAAAAAGTACAATCGTATGGGCTCTTTTTCCCTCCTCCTCCTGTCGTGGACTTCTCTCATGAACTCTCAGTGTTTCTGCCAAGCCCAAACAAGAATTGCGAGGCCTCCAGGTTGGCAGGAATCAGAAAGGCTCTCTGGCCCCTGCTCCCACGAGCCCCTCCCCCTCAGGATGGTGCCCCTGGAGCAGCTCCAGCCAGACTCCCGGAGAAGGAAGGCAAGGTTCCGGGTCACAGGGCTGCGCGCTCCAGTGACTGGCTCCTCCTTGGCAGCCTCTGCGCCCTGTCTGACCACACAGGGCCAGCGATCTCAGGTCCTTGGGTCTCCACTATCTTTCTCACGTTTCTGTCCCCCTCTGTCACATTCCTGGGGCAGAGGGCTGTCTTGCTTATTAGATAAGGGCCTGTCCTTGGTGGGGCTGGACCTAACTTTTTGACCCATGTGTTCCTGCCTGACAGTCTGACATGTCTCCCTAATGCCCTAAACTGCCTGCCAGGCAGCTGCAGGCAGGAACCTACTCTGCCTCGGCCCTCACCACTGCTGAGGCCAGAGTGGCAGCTGCTGCAGCACAGGCCTCAGCAGAGCTGGGCACTCCGAGCCCCGAGGAGCCCCAGAGGTTCCCTCTCCGCCCCTGCTGGCCTGTAGCCTGAGCGCTTTGGGGCCGGACCCCGGACTCCCGGGAGAGCGGGCCCGCCACACTGGAGGACTGCCTGCTCTGCTCAGTAGAAAGCAGAGGTGGGCAGCTCACTGCTGAGACTGACCCACAGGTAAACAGCCAGCCACAGGCGGGGAGAAACAAGCTCTGTATAACTGAAGAGAAACAGCCTCCCCAGCTGGGCCGCCTCATTCAATGAGGAGCCAGCAGCTGTGAGAGCTCAGCTTGGACTCACAGGAAGTGGTGGGGAGCTGGACGCGCTCAGCCTGCTGCCCAGCCCCAGAGCTGTCACCACAGCATGCACGCACTTCACTCGACAGACTTCCCAAGAGGAGCTGTGTTCCCCGGCGTCAGGGCTGCAGGTAAGGCATGCGCCTATATGCCAGGCCCAGGCTCTTGGATTGAGGCCACATCTAAACAGGGTCCTGTGTACCTATGGCAGATGCTGTCACTCCCCTAACTGCCACCTCCTACCCTGTCCCCTCTCCCCTCCTAACAGAACCCAGTTTTTGCAGGGAGTGGCTAGGGCTACCTTAACCCAGTGGGGCCTTGTATGGCTCTCAAGGAAAGCCATGCCTGGTTAAGCCCTTCCTGCTGCTCAGCGCACTCCTGGTTGCCGCACTTCTGGTTGCCGGACTCCTGGTTGCCGGACACCCACTTTCCCAGCCCTCTTGCAGTTAGGGGGATCCAGTTTCAACTAGAGAATGCAGCTGAAACCTGCAGGGGGTTTGAGGGGAGGATTTCGCCCCACCTTGCTTGTTCCCACTGACTGGTGAGAGAACAAGTGTCCTCACTGAAGGCTGAGAAGTCAATGCCAGGGGAAGGCAGTGCCGTTGTTCGATACCTGAGCGGGCCGTGGAGCTACCAACATGCAGGCGTGAGAGGGACTGAGCGACTGGTCGGAGGGGTCTCTCACTTGCATCGGAGCATTCCTGGCTCAAATTTCTGCAGCAGTTTGGCTCCAGGAGGTTGGAATAATGGCGTGGCTCTATCTCATCACATTAATACGCACAGTATGTGGAGAGGAAATAGCGAAGGAATTCCTGAGATAACAAGGCCTCTGACAATGCCCAGTCAGGCCTTCGATGGCACCAAGTTGCAAACATTGCCAAATTCTCCTCTCTAGGGATTCTCGCATGCGCAGTTTTGCTCACGATTGGCAAGTTTCCAGACTAAATCAAGAGGCACTGTCCCAGGAGTCACTGGAATCTCTCTTTTGTTTTAAATTATTATTTTATTTAATTTTATTTTTAAAATTTGACCAGAGAGGGACAGAGCAAGAGAGAGAGAGGGAGAGAGAGAACATGAGAAAGCAAGCCCCCAGGTCCAGGCCTCAAACTGCAGTCAGCCATGTGGGAGTTCAGCACCCTCAGCCACCACGTCACCTGCCGGCCCTCACTGGGATCTCTTCAGTTGCAAGTTAAATCCACTCTAAACTATTTCATTTCAAAGGAGAATGTACTGAATTGCAAGCCTGAGAAGCCCAAGGGTTGGATATGGCTCCAGGTAAAGCTAATTCTAGGGCTTGAAGAAGCCAGGTCAGTCTGCCCACCTCTCCCTGCCCTCCATCCCCACCTCCCCTCCTCATCCCCCTGCCCTGCTTCTCTCTGAGGCCTTTAGGATGGTGAAAGTGAAGGGGAACATGAAAGTGCTAGGCGACGGTCCCCTGCTCCTTTTCCACCTGGCCACTGACCGCCAGCCATTGCCGGATGGGGAGAGCCTCTCACAGTCTCTTCATGTGCAGCTTCCCTAAGTCGTTAACAGGCATCCTCCGATCTAATTCCACTGAATGTTCTAGCAGCTACTTGGGAGACCTGTGAGTTTGCAGGTTGTCCCCTCAGAGCTACTGAGCATTCCCGATGACCGGACAGAAGCTGCGTCTGGGAAATCCCACACAGCCACTGCAAGTCAGGTCAACAGCTCAGACACTGCTGGGAAGATGTCCCCCAAAACATAGAAATCCACAGCAGAGTGGAGAGACCCACCTAAGCAACTGATTGAAAAACATGGGAAGGGCTGGCTCGTGCATGGCGGTTAAGAAGGCTGGATCCCACGTGGCCGAGTGGACCGTTTGAGTCCCTCACCTGGCAGCTTGAAAAGGAGCCCAGGCGTGTGTGTGTGCGTGTCCAAGATCCCGGAAGGAAAGAGGGGAGGAGAGGGGATTGCCTTATGATCATTCCTCCTTGAGGGTGCTTTCTTATTTTCCCTCTTTCTCTCAATCTCCAGTGAGATACTTCCTATGCCCTCTGGAAAATTAAAAAATAAAAATATATCAGGACCAGCAGGGGCTTCAGGGCTGGGCTCCCACATGGCCAACTGCAGTTCAAGTCCTGAACCTGGCGACTTGAAAATCATGCCAGGCACATGTACTTGTGTTCCCAAAATCCCAAGAGGAGAATGGAGAAGGGATTGTGGTGTGGCCATCCCCCCTGAGTGTTAATTTCTCACTTTCCTTCTCACTATCTCTGTCCAGCCAGTGCACGCACCCTATGGCAGAAACCTTAAAAATTAGTTAATTAATTCATTAAAAGCCAGGAAAGTTCAGTGGGAAAATATGAACATGAGTATCTCAATAGATGCAAACACAATCAGGATCATTTAGTATCAGACAGTGTAATTCAAGGTGAGTAAACACAATAAGTCACTTCCTGCTTCAAGATTTTTCTGTGAATAAAGAACATAATTTGCTATAAAAATATGTATGCTTGGGAACCAGCAGTTAGCGTAATGGTTATGTCGCTGGACTCCCACGTAGTCGACCGCGGTTCGTGTCCCGGACCTGGTGGCTTAAAACTCACGCCGGGCGCATGTGTGTGTGTGCCC